GCAGATATTAATAACAGCGGAGGGCTCCTTTATAAAACCTGCAGTTTGGTAGTACATATAACGAGAAGCTAGAAAATAATGGTCTTCCAAAAAAAACCTTACTTGAGAGGGATACAGGGGCTGCCACTAGTGACCTCCTTTTGAGAATGCTCATTTCTTGGCTTTTGTCCTAATCCTCTTACTTATGTAGCACTCAACTCAAAATGGCCCGCTGTTTTGCCCCATGGTCTTTTCACAAATTACTGCAGCAGCAGCCAGGTATAAAGTAACAGTCACTCTTCCGGATCAATGTCTAAGGGTATTTTTTTGATGCTTTATTGAAAGTTGAACTTGGGTGCACGTGTGGGATACAGTGGCGCAATGTAATGACAGGAGGACACTCTTCACTTTGTCAAGGCTTCTTAGTATGGCCCCTCTAGCAACAACTAAGGGATTGAGCAACACTAAGACACCAGACATAGAGGTCCCAATTCAAGCAAGCTCTGGCACTGATGCACAAGGGATAGTAGCAGCACAGTTATTAGGATCCTACACACATGTCTGTACTCACAATGTCCCTGAATACTTGGATGCTACCTTCCAATATCAGCCAGATATTTCTCCCATGAACTCTCCAGACCAGATCCTCAGTGAAATCCCTTAATCAGTTCCAGCAAGTTCTTAGCATAGCTGGGACCTCGATGAGCACATGTAGTAATACAGCTGGACTGCCCAAGGGGGCAGCAGCCCTTCAGGATGGGAACTTCTCCTCCTGCACAAGACAGGGCTGCCTCAGGCCCCAGATTATTTATGCACTCTTCAGCCACCCATTGGGCATCCTCCTCTAGGGATTGGCTAAAGCAACATGAACATGCAGGTCTTTGATTTGTCTCTTCAAACCTACTACATTCTAAAATTCAGCAGAAAGCAGGGGGAAGCAGTCAAACCTGCAACCAGTCAACCCTAGAAGAGCCCAAACCAACCACAATCCGTTTTGATTACAGAGGAGCCAAAAAGACTATATTTACCTAACCAGCAACCTATCTAGGAGGGTGCTGCACTTAAATCCTTGAACTCTGATCTTTGTTCTTCTCCCCCCCCATCCCAAGGACTGTGGGCGAAGGATTCAAAGATCTCTTTTCTCCATCCAATCTTCCTCATATAAAAACATATGCTTTGTATAATGAATGTGAATTTGGGCCTTGGCCCTTATTTGGTTCTTTCTATCTCGTGTTTTCGTATCTTAATGTTCACCTGTATAGTCAAGTTACCCAACATGTCATCTTTGCAATGATATGAGGAAGCTTTACTCTTCATTGGTTGTCTGATATTACAACTGTGCGACTTGGGTTACACTTTTAAACTCCAATAAAATATATTTAAAAATAAATACTTGAAGTCATTGACAAGGTTATGGGGGAGAAAAGAGGTTGGTGACTCCAAACAACAAAGGGAAAGAACTTCCTGGCCACAAGTACAGGAAGTCCATTTAATAATCCTAATCTGAGTTCTGTGAAATATACTGCAGCCGGATTTCAGAGAGCTCATCATATGGGTGGTGGGTGGTCTTTGATGGTTGTACCAGCAATCATATTCTAAACTTCCAAGGCAACTTTGAATTTTAGTTGGTGATTTGGGGGATCCTCCCACCTCAATACATCAAGATTTCTGTAAAGAAATGCCTTCCTTGCATTAAATCTGAACTCCAGCCAAAACATTTTGGCTTTGGCTAGATCAGGGAGGGTTATAACGGATACCTTCTGGAAGGTTTTATTGGTGCTTGTGCCCCTGCTTGGGAGACTTTATCTTCCTTCCTGTCCTGGTGACCTCACAGGAAGTGTACATATCTCCCCAACTGCCTGACAGCCTGTCAACTGTATAATTCTTAGATAACCTAAGGATTGGAGGAAAAGAAATGTAATCTCCAAACATGGAAAGGTTTCTTCACAGTGAGAGCTGTGAAAATGTGGAATAGACTCCCTCAAGAGTTGGTTCTGGCCAGCTCAGTGGATTGCTTTAAAAAAAGGCCTGGATTCTTTCTTAGATACACAGAAAATAACTGGATACTAACATTTATAGGTAAAGTTGATCCAGGGAATATCCGATTTCCTCTTGGGGTATCAGGAAGGAATTTTTTCCCCTGCAGGAGCAAATTAGTTCATGTTTTGCTGTTTTTTTCCTTCCTCTGGATCAACTGTGGGTATAGGATTATAACTTTTTTTTTTTTTTTTAATGGTTGGACTGGATGGACTTTTGTCTTTTTTCAGCCAGACTATGTAACTATGTAAACTGATGGTGGATGATGAGATCCTAAAAGAGTCCTCAGCTCTAAATGCACAGCATGGCTTGTATTTACTGCTCAATACAACTTAATGAGGGGAAAAAAAAACATATGTTTAATCATGAAAAATCACCTTTAAGGAACAATTAGGTGTGGTTGTATTTACTAACAGTCAAAGAGAAGGGGCAGTGGCACAAAGTCTGCACAGCTGAAGGGTCTGAAAAGTGTTGTCACCCTTCTTATGCAGTGTAACAGCACAGAAGGGGTGGCCATTACTTCACAGAGCTTTTTACAGGCATGAGCCTTATATGTTTGTACGTTGCTGCTTTGTGTGGAGTTGCACCTTTAGGGCCCTGAAATTGAACTTCTTATCGACTTGAGAATCCTGCATGAATACATTCTGGACATCACAATATACAGCAACAGTATATATTTTCAAAAACGTTCCACCTTTTATCATTAATAGCAATTCTTTAACTCCAGTCCAGTATTTTGTATAGGCTGAGATGATGTTAGCAGTCTGCTGCAGGCAGGAGGAAGCATTTCTTCAGTCTTCTTCTCTCCAGTGATCAGACTGCAACATTGTAAATTTGTAGCAAGTCACAAGGTAGGAGTCTGCAGCAGGGGCTGGTCTGTGTCAGACATTGTTGAACACAGCTAAACATTGCAGGGGCAATATCACTGAGCTATCTGGCCAAGAGGTAGATGGTAACTCTGGGTGATGCCTGAACAAAGATGGCTCCTACTTTCTGGAGGGGAAAGCAGATGAAGGTGTTGTCAGGGGGAGTATTATGATCTCTGTGGGAGGTAATAAATACCTGTAAGTCTTACACATGGCCCATTTACATTATGTTGTTGTGGTAAGATGCAGCAAAGCACATTAATTGCATTGGTGTGATGCAGTGCCATCATTGTGAATGGCACCCAACACACATGTTGACAGTCGTGTTGCAGCAGAATGTGTTGCAGCGGGATGTGTTGCATGCGTTATTTTTGTGCAGCACACTGCAACACACGCTACTGCATTCCTGCACCTTGTGCTATGCTGCAACGCATGTCTGATGGCAGGTGCATTGGGGTACAATTCAGAGTGAATGACATCAGATTGCACCAATGCAATCAATGTGTCTTGCTGCACGTTACAGGAAAGCGCATATTGCCGCCAGGGGTGGACTGACCATTTGGGAACTCGGGCACTGCCCGAGGGCCCAGGGTCAGTAGGGGGCCCCATGAGATGCCCCTGGTACCTTTTCATAGGCTTTTTTGGGTGTGGTTTGAGTGTGGGTGAGGACACAGGGGCCTCATGATCCCATGTTGCCCGGGGGCCCCATGAGTTGTCAGTCCGCCTCTGATTGCCGCAACAACATGGTGTGAACGGGCCCTTAAAGAAACTGATGTGAAGTTCCCTTTAAGACGAATAAATAGCTGTTGTGTCAGCTGCGCAAAGCAGAAGCATTTATGAGTTCATTCAGCCTGTAATTTAAGGCCCTTGCAGGAGTGAGCCTGACATCTGTAGATCTCGCTATTTTTCAAAGGATCAATTTAATTTAGTTTGATCTGCGGTTGGTGCAGGGGAAGCCTGCCAGTTCCATGCAGGGGTCGTCTTTGCCTGCATTCCGCCGCAGTGACGGATATAACCAGCTCCTCAATCATCCTCAATCAATTCCCAACCACTTTGCAGCTCTGCTCATGCTGGGCGATGGTAGAGAACAAGGGCTGGGGTGATACGGCTGTACAGCTGCGGAATTCTCTACCTGATGAAAAGATTTTGCCAAACACCAAGTCATCTTTAACGTCGATGTCATGCCATGTATATTTATGCCTATTGATCTTCCCGCTGGTACAAACTGCTGCACGTCAACCTCCTTTTCCTATAATATACAATCACCGAAATGCTTGTCAAAGAACTCCGGGCAAAAATAAATACCGCGCTTTAATTCATGTACACTAATTGAAAAAATGCTAATCTTATTGTGGCGGAGGACCGCGGGCAAACTGCAACGTTCAGTAATAAATAATGAGGAGCAGGAGTAGCTGCGTACCTTGTCTGCGCTGCCTCTTGGCAGAAAGGCTAATGATCTAGCTGGAATTCAGGCCTAGCACATTTCCATAGGCCTGCTTGTAACTAAATCGTGATCAGCTAACTCCTGCAGACTGTGTGGTCTGAGCCAAAGGTACCAACACGCAAATCTAAAGTAGTTTAAATTCCTAATTGGATGAAATTTGGTTTGCTAAAGAACTTTGTATTTTAAACAATTGCCTTGCATTTTTGTCATAAAATACAGTTTTTGACTTTTTTTTAGCAATTCAGTTTTGCTGATTTTCAATAGTCTTTTTGCAACCAATACCTGTCTACATGCCATCCAGCAAATGCTTCCTGTCTTTTTGCAGGCAAGTTTCCTGTGTTAAACCAGCTACTTGCATTCTCCATTTGAGGCCCATATTTCAGGGTGATAACTTCAGGTATACAACTGAGAGAAAGGGACAGTGTTGTCACCCCATCACAACATGTGCCTGAATAAGGTCCCTCAAGGTAGGATCAATAGGTACACATGCCTTCCATCGAGTGTGAGCTGCACATTATTGCCCTGGAATGGTTTCCCACAGACCAGCAGTGTACGGCACATTCTTCCCACTGAACCCCAATATAAGGATCATTCTTCCCAATGACTCTGAATGCAAGGAACATTCTTCCCACTGACTGCTAATGTTAGAGACATTTTTCCTACTTACCACCAGTGTAAGGAGTATTCTTCCCACTGGCCACCAATATAAGAAACTTTCTTCCCACTGACCACCAATGTAAGGAGTATTCTTTCCACTGACCCCCAATGTAAGGAGTATTCTTCCCACTGACCCCCAATGTAAGGAGTATTCTTTCCACTGACCCCCAATGTAAGGAGTATTCTTTCCACTGACCACCAATGTAAGGAGTATTCTTCCCACTAACCACCAATGTAAGGAGTATTTTTCCCACTGACCACCAATGTAAGGAACATTCTTCCCATTGGCCATCAATGTAAGGAACATTCTTCTCACTGACCCCCCAATGTAAGGAACATTCTTCCCACTGACCACAATGTATGGAACATTCTTCCCACTGACCCCCAATGTATGGAACATTCTTCCCACTGAACCCCAATGTAAGAAACATTCTTCTCAGTGACCCCCAATGTAAGGAACATTCTTCCCATTGGCCATCAATGTAAGGAACATTCTTCTCAGTGACCCCCAATGTAAGAAACATTCTTCCCACTGACCACCAATGTAAGGAGTATTCTTCCCACTGACCCCCAATGTAAGGAGTATTCTTCCCACTGACCCCCAATGTAAGGAGTATTCTTCCCACTAACCACCAATGTAAGGAGTATTTTTCCCACTGACCACCAGTGTAAGGAGTATTCTTCCCATTGGCCATCAATGTAAGGAACATTCTTCTCACTGACCCCCAATGTAAGGAACATTCTTCCCACTGGCCACCAATGTAAGGAAAATTCTTCCCATTGATCCCACTGATCACCAATGTAAGGACCATTCTTCCCAATGACCCCCAATGCTAGAACACTCTTACCACTGACTGCCAATGTTGGAGACATTCTTCCCGCTTACCAACAGTGTAAAGCGTATTCTTCCCACTGACCACCAATGTAAGGAACATTCTTCCAACTGATTGACTAACGTGAACTGCCTGCCTAGAATGACAATGCAGCTCCTCCATAGATACATTTAGGGGTGAGTGTTGTCATCTTGGAATTGGAAGTGTGTTACTGGTCATTTCATCAGGTGAATTTAATGGGGAAAAAAGCCTGAAAAAAGAAAACTAATGCAACCACCACAATGAAGGATTTGTAAGCTGCAATATATTACATTTGTGTTCTTGGGTTTGGATATGCTGCATTTCTTCCAAGGTTCTATTTTTATCCATCTAGATTCTGCCTCCTTAAGCTTTTGTTTTTCCCAGTGAGAGCGGAGAACTGGCTGGTGACAGGAGGGTTAACGTGAAGAGCGTTTGAAGAACGATACCAGGGATGGCGCTTTGATGAAGTTCCAGGCCATTTACTGCTGTTAAACAATTCCCGTTTAATCCCTTTCTGTAGGAGCCGCTCGCGCTCCCTTCTCGCGTGAAGGACAAATAACCTCTGTGTAAATCCACGTCTTAAGAAACAGATTTTGGGGGCAAATGGAAACATATGTCTGAATTAAAAATCAGCCTGTATCGATGCACTGAGTGGAATGAATACTAATAGCTCTGGTGAGCTTCCATTACCACCAGGCGAGCTCCTGGCTGCCCCCCACTCCGAAGATGTGTGCACCAGCATAGAGGAAATAAACTGCTGCCTTTGTGAATGGTATTTTATGGCTTTAAAGGAACCTGTCTTGGGAGAAATATAGGAAATAGGGCAGTGGTGGCGAACCTATGGCATGCATGCCGCAGCGGGTTCGCAGAGCCCTCTCTGTTGGCACACGAGCCAAGTTGCCCCAGCATCACCCCAGCAGCTACGCATCAGATAACAGCGCACATAGGGGCCATGAGCATGCTCGGAAAGGAGTAGTGGCTCCAGGCGATGATGTCACGAGCCGCAACTCATTAGCCACAACTCGCTTTCGCATGGCAGGTCAGTGTGCTGCCAAAGATATATATATTGGACTGGCTATGAGTTTTAATACATTTGTTTTTATTAACAGAAGATTCTAGCTTGTGCTGGTGGTCAGTGGTACTTTGCCCCCTTGTGCTGGTGTCAGTGGAACTTTGCCCCCTTGTTGGTGGTCAGTGGAACTTTGCCCCCTTGTGCTGGTGGTCAGTGGAACTTTGCCCCCTTGCGCTGGTGGTCAATGGAACTTTGCCCCCTTGTGCTGGTGGTCAGTGGAACTTTGCCCTCTTGTGCTGGTGGTCAGTGGAACTTTGCCCCCTTGTGCTGGTGGTCAGTGGAACTTTGCCCCCTTGTGCTGGTGGTCAGTGGAACTTTGCCCCCTTGTGCTGGTGGTCAATGGAACTTTGCCCCCTTATGCTGGTGGTCAGTGGAACTTTGCCCCCTTATGCTGGTGGTCAGTGGAACTTTGCCCCCTTGTGCTGGTAGTCCGTGGAAGCTCTGTTAATGTACAGGTTGTTTTTTCTAAACTAAAACTTCAGTATTCAGTTTTAGTTGCAGTGTTGGCACTTTGAGATAAATTTGTGGGTTTTGGGTTGCAGTTTGGGCACTCGTCCTCTAAAAGGATCACCATCACTGATATAGGGGCTGCCATTGAGAACCCTCTTTTGAAAATGTTAGTTGCCTTGCTGTCTCTGACTTACAGAGTACCTGTCAGGTCACTAAATGCACTAAAAGGCCAATTACCTGTAGAAGAAGTATTATACTTACCTTTCTGGGGGTTGGTGCCTTCTACTTTCCCTCTGTACATGGCAGCCTCCTTCAGTCTTACTTCTGAGAGTCATTCGTACCTTCCTCCTACCCCAACATCAGTAATGGACTGAGCCAGGGAAACAACTGTCAAAGAATGACCATGAGAAAAGCAACCCTTCTTCTACTTTATTGCATAAGCCACTGTTTCTGAGCATGAGCAACTGCTTCATGGTGGAATAGCAGAGAACAACAGTGTCAGCATCCTCCCATATAAGGAAATAGATTTCCAAGCTGAACAACAGAAGCTGTCTGCTACAGACACTTAAAGCTGCTAAATACATATAACTAATGCAGACACTAGATGCAAACCTGCATAGCCAACTGATACATATAGCAACAGGCTAGTAAACCATTAAACTTCAATCTCAAAAACCACCCTTTTATATATCACTGTGAAAAGCATAAATATAATCCATACTGAACCCTTATGCTGGAATTGGCTGCCACACAAACCGATCTCCTTTCCTGCAGATTTGTAGTGAAATCTGCACATGGTATTTAAAGGATTAACTTGTCCACTATGAGCTGAGTAATCTCCAATACTCTATAAATTAGGAAAAAATAAGGTCCGGCTTTAATTTAATTTCACCCATTTGCCTAGAAAACTGAAATTTAAGCTGGTTAAATGTTTGACAATGGGGAGACCAAAATGAAATGGATATTGCTGAAATTATACAATCCTACAGACCTGGAGAGATTAAGGGAGCATGGAAGCACAATGCAGTGTTTAAGGGTTAATCTGAGAGCTTTTTTTTAAAGAAAAAGATTTTTAAACTCCATTTCTACTAATTGAATAATAACTACTTATGTGATTGTAATTCCGAGAGAGAGAGAGAGAAAGGAAGGAGGAGGAAGGAAGGGGAAGGAAGGAAGGGAAGGAAGGAGGGAAAGAAAGAAGGAAGGAAGGAAAAAGAAAGAAAGAAAGAAAGAAGAAAGAAAGAAAGAAAGAAAGAAAGAAAGAAAAAAGAAAGAAAGCCAGGAAGGAAGAAAAGTAAGGAAGGAAGAAAAGAGAAGAAGAAAAACAGATGATAGGTGCAAGTAAGGAGGGAAGAATAAAATGACACCAAATATGTCTCCTTTTTCCAGCATTCATAATGCTCCCATCACTGAGATAAAGATCTAAGGAGGAAGGAAAGGAGATAAATAGAGAAGGAGGAAAAGAAAGGACTGAAGGAGGGAAGGAAGGGAGGGAGGTAAGAAGAAAGGAAGGGAGGAAAGAGAGAAACTGTAAGAAATATTAGATAGACCCAAGAAGGAAGGAAGTAAAGAATAGACAAGAAAATTGTAAACATGGAAAATGGGAGGGATGAAAGAAGGAAGGAAGAAAGTACTGAAATGAGAAAATAAACAGACAAGGAAGAGGAAGAAGAAGAAAGAAAGAAAGAAAAAGAAAGAAAGAAAAAAAGAAAGAAAGAAAGAAAGAAAGAAAGAAAGAAAGAAAGAAAGAAAAAAAGAAAGAAAAGAAAGAAAGAAAGAAAAGAGAAAGAGAAAAGAAAGAAGTAGAAAAAGGAGGGAGGGAAGAATAAAATGACACCAAATATATTTCCTTTTTCCAGCATTCACAATGCTCCCATAACTGTCCCTAATGATCCCGTCTCCTCACACCTTCTATCCAGAATTCCAGAAGCCTCTTCACACTAACTGTGAAAAGATAACAGCACAGTGGAATGTGCATGACTGAAGCTTGGGCACCTGCCAAAGCAATGGCAGGCATGGGGTGAGGGTGCTTTGTTATATCTCAGAAACTTCCTTCTGAACATGCAACATACCAGGAAGGAGTCCTTCCTGAGACTAATTAGAAGAAAACATCAGAGAAATAAAGAAACACAAATAGATCTGTAATCTCCCATGTTCCTTGTTTTAATTTATTTTTGTTTGTTATGTCATGTCATCCTGCCTACAATACAACAGCCATTCCTCTCATAATTCCTGGTGCTTTCAAACAGTGGCTCTACCTGAATATGACTAATGCTCTGTCATGGTAAGTGGGTTCCAATTTGGGAGGATCGCAGAAGAAATCTAATGGTGAATATTATTTAAAAACAGGTAGGGTAAAGGATAAATTCAAGATAAAAAGCCCAACTCCATGCTCAGCACTCCCCCCTTCCACTTCCCTGCCCCTCCATGCTCAGCACTCCCCCCTTCCACTCCCTGCCCAACTCCATGCTCAGCACTCCCCCCTTCCACTTCCCTGCCCAACTCCATGCTCAGCACTCCCCCCTTCCACTCCCCTGCAACTCCATGCTCAGAACTCCCCCCTTCCACTTCCCTGCCCAACTCCATGCTCAGCACTCCCCTGCCCAACTCCCTTCCACTCCCCTGCTTAACTCCATGCTCAGCACTCCCCTCCTTCCACTTCCCTGCCCAACTCCATGCTCAGCACTCCCCCCTTCCACTTCCCTGCCCAACTCCATGCTCAGCACTCCCCCTTCCACTCCCCTGCCCAACTCCATGCTCAGCATTCCCCCCTTCCACTCCCCTGCTTAACTCCATGCTCAGCACTCCCTCCTTCCACTTCCCTGCCCAACTCCATGCTCAGCACTCCCCCCTTCCACTTCCCTGCCCAACTCCATGCTCAGCACTCCCTCCTTCCACTCCCCTGCCCAACTCCATGCTCAGCACTCCCCCGTTCCACTCCCCCTTAACTCCATGCTCAGCACTCCCTCCTTCCACTTCCCTGCCCAACTCCATGCTCAGCAATCCCCCCTTCCACTCCCCTGCCCAACTCCATGCTCAGCACTCCCCCCTTCCACTTCCCTGCCCAACTCCATGCTCAGCACTCCCCCCTTCCACTTCCCTGCCCAACTCCATGCTCAGCACTCCCCCGTTCCACTCCCGTTCCCCTAAGCTGTATTTTTTTATACTTACCTTTTCTGAAATCTTCAAGCCAGTCATGTTATGTTGCAGGGTTCTATACTCCTCTTCACCAGGCTGGTCCTGATGATGATGCAGAGAGTGATGATGATGTGATGATGTTGGTGTCACTCTCACTCTCTGCACCATTACAAAGTAAACGAATGGTGGTGTGGTTAGGTCCTCTGACACACTGCACTCACAGTATGTCCTCATTCTTCTGGGTTGAGTGTT